TTGAGCGCTCGTTCTCTTCTATCTGCTATTTCTCTGTGTCCTCTCTTCTCTTCTCGCCTCTCTCGATTCTCTCGTTCTTCTAGCGTCTGATCCCTTTCCCTCCCCCCCCCCCTCCTCTTCTCTTCTCGGTGGGCCGGTGCACAAAGCGGGCACGGTGTCGCAAGCAGCCGGACATCCGGTAACTCGCAGAGGCCCCTTTGAAGTCTTTGAGAACGCAAATTCGCGGGATCGTATGCCGAATGAAATATCGCGTTGTGTGCAACCACGTGCCGTCTCTCTGTTTCCTCTGTCCTCGTTGACATCGCATTGCGACGATGCGTCGCACGCCCGGATACACGTTAAAGTGGAAAACGATTACGAACTGCGGGGGATTCTACCGCAAGCGAGAAATTATAGTCTTCTTGCGAGAACCGTTATATTTCTTTTTCCCTCGGCAGAAGAACTTCATGCTTTTACGAAGATTATTTACCACTTCGACCTAATCATAGTATACGTATTTGGTTATTATGTCTTTACAGGAAACACAAAATTTTAAAAAATTTTTGCCTGTTTCTACCAATATAGATTAAGTTTAATTTCGGTTTAACTTTTTTCATCTTTTTTTAAATTCTTACTAGAAAAAGAATAAAGAATTAGAATTGAACCGAGATTAAAATTAAACTATAATGTTGATGAAAACGAATATTAAATGTGTGATATTAATATTCAATTGATGGTGATATTAGATTACTGTTATTTAATAACGTATTGTATGTATATTTATAAAAACGTAGATATGGGAAGATAAAGTATTGTATATTTCAATCTGGTTGACTGAGATACTTTTATATGTATTCTTTTATCGTAGTGATAAATCTCACAAAAATATTTGTCCAACGTAGCCTGGACCACGATTCCATTCACTGAAACTCGACGGACAGCTGACAATACTGTCCGTGAAGTGTCCCTCGTAAAATTCGAATTTGTCCGTCGGTCGTTAGCCGAGAAATTCAAAACCATCTTTCGCCCGCCTACTCCAAACTACTCGCTTTCTCTCTCGCTTTTTCTCTCCTACTGCAGGCGGTCGTACGGAATAATCTACCATCCGTAGAACAATCTATCACGCTGTACAACGAAAGTTTGACGCAATGTCAAAACGCGGACCCGTTAATTTTTCATGTCGTTTCACCCGGAACTCGTGCTGTAACTGCGCCTCCTAACCCCGGTCGTATATACACCGCCGACCTGATCCACGTCGTCGACGCTGGTCCAGCAAGTTGTCTCGACTTTGCCATTCATTATTCACCACCTACACTGATACGCTACCTTTCGACAACGCGGGACGCACTTGCGTGACAGTGCGCCAAAAAAAGAATGTGTCACATATCTGTTTTACAGAATGTCTCGTTAAATGCAACTCCTTTTATTTATTATCATATTATTTGATATAAAAGTCTTTGTGGAAAATATTATTTCTTATTAAAATTTACGATATATTATTATTCGTATATGCGATAGTCATTAAAAAAGATTTTATAAATAATGATGAATTTATGTAATGAATTTATGTAATGATATTACGATTGTGATATGAATATATACAATATTTGTAGGTATATTGCATAGTGAAGTTTTATTTATAAAATGTAATAGAGATGCGTTACCAGCGTGAGTACAGTTATTTGAATATTTACACATATACGTATTATCTTTTGCATTTAATTATTGAGATTTTTGCAACTAATTAAATACATGTCTTTATATGTGTATTTATATACATATACACATGTATATATATTTATATGTCATACTGCTCT